CAAATGCAGGGTGCCAAACACCAAAATATGATAATGTAATCTTGGCTTTAGAAAGATACTGCAATATAACAATTGATGCAGTTCCCAATATCATATATAAAGAAGYATATCCAAAAATCTYACTTCTTTAAAATATTTCTAAACAGAAATCTTTCCCAGTATCAAAACCTTTGAATGAAAATACCATTCCTTTAACAGGAAAGATTYAAGGMAAAACTTGCCTGATATGACAAACCATTTTCCCCTTCTCAATAACATCTAAATTATTACTTCTAAATAGGAATAATATCTCTGATTCATTAGGTCACAAAGAAATGATGACTCAAAGTTATTAAATCCAATTTAGTAATAATAATAWGAGTTATAATAATAACATCCCCATATGACAATGCCACCCTTGTTCCAAGTACACCTCTCCTTGATATGCCACCCTTATTCCTCCAATTTAACAGAGCTACTTATCAGAACAGACATAAGTCACCACGTCTGAAAGTACTCATCCCCAGTTCCAAACCAGAACAGACATAAGTCACCACGTCTGGGGAACTACCTTCTAAAACTCACTTCCGTACCAAAACAGACTTATGTCACCACGCTTGGTAGGAAGGTTTCAAAATATGGTTTCATACCAAAACAGACCTAAGTCACCATGCTTGGTAGAAACATTTCCCAAAATCCCGTTACAATACCAAAACAGACTTACGTCACCATGCTTGGTAGGAACATTTATCAAAACTCATTCCATACCAAAACAGACTTATGTCACCACACTTGGTTCATTTATTTTAAAAGATATAAAATAACCATTTTTTTTTGTAAATCATAAATAAATAAAATAAATATTTAAAAACTTATAAAATTTTCAACAAAGATATCTGGACAACAAGTCCGGTCAATAACCACCCGGTTTACAAATCCGGTCAACTAATCCGGTCAACAACCATCCGGTTTACAACAGACTGTCTACTTTGTCCGGACATCTAATCCGGTCAACACCTCAAATATTCATTAAACGGTTTAACACTTAGAATAATAAATCATATTGAGCGGATAACAAATCCGGTCAATAGTCCGTTCAAGACTTACCCGGTTTAAGACTAAACCGCTCATCAATCCGTTCAAGGTTTGTCCGGTTTAAGACTAAACCGCTCATCAATCCGTTCAAGGTTTGTCCGGTTTAAGACTAAACCGTTTATCACTTAACCGGTTTACAACTCCGGTCAACAAACTACTCGAAGCTTGTCCGGTAAACTAATCCGTTCACTTMAACCGCTTAAGACTTGTGCGGTTTATACTTATCCGGACACTAAACCTCACAAGGCTTATCCGGTTTAAACTTATCCGGTCACTAACCTCACAAGGCTTATCCGGTTTAAACCTCTTATCCGGCCAAGCTTTGTCCGGATAAACACTTAGACAAAAATAAACATGTTCTCTTTAAATATGAATAAACGAAATATAATTGAAACCAGTAAAATCTTTATA